AGGGGGGGACACCCCAATAGACTTTCTAGGAACTTGTGTAACCTTAACAAAACATCCCGATAATTGTTAAAGAAATGCTGTAAAAGGTTAACAAAGTATTGTCGAGAAATAAGCTACCAGATAACGAAGAGAAAACAATGTTACGTGTAGATATGTAAATGAGGGGAGTGGCTACAGTAGAACTGTGACGTCACCTCATACTATAAGTACAGTAGCTCAAGTGAAGACAGACGAGGTGAGCTCCTGAACCGAAAGCGTTGGTCTGCTGGTAGCAGTGAATGGGTGTCGAATAGGAAATCCTAGTAGGAGATTGAAGGTTCGATTTTGGTGATTGGAAAATAGGAAAGTCTTGAGTAGAAGAAAAAGGTTCCGAGTATTAATTGAGGTGACGGTTAGGATTGATAGTTATAAGAGAATTTGTATCTAAGTTAAGAATTGGATTTTGTTTTGTCGGAATTCCAAGGGGAATAGTTCTAAGTTAGAATAAGACTTAAGTTTGTCGGGTTGATTTTGTGATTTTGATTTTGATTAATAAATTTGTTGTTTGTTTATAAATCTTGTACATAGTATTTGTTAAACTTGATTAAACATTTATTATTGAGAATTTTTTGTGGCTAACTTTGTTCTTAATTTTTTCCGGTGCACGCTAAAAGTCCAGGCCTGGCAACTAACAAACGCGAACCGCGTAAAGTACCCGTTAGGTCCCGGCTCTAAGAAAAATTCGTTGTAGAGCGGCAAATTAAATATAGTACTTTACAACAGGGTTTCGATGAATTGGTACCCTGGTCTATTTGCTTAACAATTGGGGGTATGACAGATTGGCACCCCACTCAAGAAAGAGTTAAAGGTGGAAAATGCGTTACAACTTTTTCTTGATTGAACATGAACTTCCTTCTACAATATTTTATAATAGGGTTATTAACTGTTTCTACTCTTTGTTCAACAGTCATCAACTATTTATTTCAGAACACTGTCACAAAAGTACAATCTGTGACAAGATGAGCTGAATAGAAAGATTTTAATACACTTATTTCTGGAAAGTTTCTCAAAAATCTAAAAATTATTCCTAAAGTTAAAATAGCAGTTATAGTTAACTTGAAGTTCATTTACCTTCTTTATCAAATTTGTATTTTCTTATGTTAATTTCTCTATCTTATTCAAGTGCAATACTGTGCTAATTTTATTATAATATCCTTTAATTCATTTGTGTGTATAAACAATAAAATTCACTTTTCTCTGTTTGATGAAATGTGCAAACTATATCTAACTCACTATTGTCATCTTTCATATTACTTTCCCTTGTTATGTACACGACACCTTCATACATTTAAAAAATATTTTACCTTTCAACAGAAGGTACAAAATATTTTGAAATTCCTCCTTGGTTCTCTCAATCAGTTCATCTTCATGATATTTAAATAACTTACATGAATCTTAATTTATAGTACATTTTTCACTACACTTTAATATCTACTGTCTTCTTCAAATTCAAAACAAATAGCACGAGCATTCACCAACTTATTCTGCTCATTTGCGAGATCATTGCTAATACATTGTTCACATTTGTGTCTTTGTGTAAATTCATAAAAATCTTTAAAACTCAGATCCTTTACATTGAGACACATAGCACAAAAAAACTGCTTTGCATCTTTGCGAATAATGTATTTTTAGTGATATTTGGCTTTATATTTATATGTTAATTTATTTATTGTTCTAAGAATGCTAAAGTTTAAATTTTAAAACAAAAAAGAATGTTAAAAGAAAAACTTTAAAAATTAAAAAAAAAAGAAGGTTAAAAAAAAAAGAAGAGAAGAATCTGGAATGCCAGAATGGAAGAGAGGTTTTGAACACTGTAAGGTTGAAAGGAGAGTTTGTTCTTTTTGAGGAGTAAAGAAAACATTCAAATCTGTTTCGTGTAAGGATTTTTGTTAAAAAAAAAAGGACTTGTAGCGATACCGTATTCACTACAGTATTTGTCTCAATTTCCCTATAAATGTGTTACAGTAGAGTCCCGAAAACTTGGCACTCAATAACCCGGCAGTCCGGATAACTCGGCCAAACTCTGGCAGAGTGAAAAAACACCTAGTTAATTTCATTATAGACAGATTTATGTTTTATCAAGTATTTTTCTGAGGTCTGTCCTATCAGGTAAATTACTGTACACTGTGTATTCATTAATTTTCATTTTCATGTAGTAATGGCTCTATGCCTTCATAAAGTATGTACTTTTCCTTTGTTTAAGGATATTTGGGCAGTTTATTCTCTGTTATATTCTCAAGCAAACAATACATACAAGTACAGTACAGTATTTTCTGAGGANTATTCATTAATTTTCATTTTCATGTAGTAATGGCTCTATGCCTTCATAAAGTATGTACTTTTCCTTTGTTTAAGGATATTTGGGCAGTTTATTCTCTGTTATATTCTCAAGCAAACAATACATACAAGTACAGTACAGTATTTTCTGAGGACTCCACATTCTTACTTATTCTTTTTTAGCCTCATTCCCAATAACCCGGCATTTTCACAAACTTGGCCACCCTTTGGTCCACATTAGGCCAAGTTTCCGGGACTCTATCATTTCTTATGCTATCATAATAATGATAGCATAAGAAATGATGGCAAAATAAAGCATAAATAATGATAGCATCATTTCCTGATGATATCATTATTTTTGCCATCATTTTTTATTTTTGCTTCCTGATGGCAAAAAGAAAAAAAAGAGGTTATTTATACTTGACAGTAATATTGAAGCAACTAAAGCTTTGTCCATTCTGAAATTTGGGAATTGTCAAAGTATCACTAATTATCTGGTTTCATTTTTAGGTAGTACGGATATTATCTGAAATAGAAATTGAACTGACATTCAAAATCATTTAATTTATCAGTTTCTGTTATCAGTCCACATGCCTGAAAACATTCAGACAATGTGGAGCACAGGCCCTGCATTGGTCCTTCCTTTTATGTGAGATATATAATGTAAAGTTTGAATTATACAGTTTGAATAACTGCCTGTATTTATTCCATATTTGTTAGTTCCATCAATCTTATAACTGGAAAATAAGTTGGTTGATTAGACTAGAAAAATGTGATATATAATCAACTTATGTACCTTTTTCAAACTTTAGACAATTGATGAGCAATTAATTAATTTTGACAATTGATTACTAATCTGTTAATGAAATTAATTGGATGACCAAAACCTTTTTTCTATTTTTAATATAATTTAAATCTTAAATTGATTATTTTTGTTGAAGAAAACATAAGTTTGTTTGGAATATTTAAAATATTACCTAATATTATTAAAATTAAATATATAATTGTGTAAAATTTTACATATATGTTTAAAGGAAATTCTGTTAATTGTACTGGTGACGATGATGATGGAGTTTCAGTTGGAAGTATTGCTGGGGGTGGACGATATGATAAATTAGTTGGAATGTTTGATTCAAAGCATAAAAATGTTCCTTGTGTTGGGATTAGTCTTGGGATAGAACGTATATTTTCAATTATGGAAGCAAAGGCTCAAGTAAGTTTTAAAAAATAAATAATAAAAAATTTTACTTAATATTTTTTCATTGTAGTTAATATGATATAATTATACATAAGCCATTAAAAATTAGGAAGTTTTTAATTGTTCATATAAAAATTTTTGAGTTAATAATTAATAACTAGAAACTAAATATTTAACAGTTCTATTTAATAGAATTGTGTAGATTTTTTCAAATATAAATGTAAAATGCAATGCAAATATATCTTGTGAAGTGAAATTCTAACAGCAATAGAAGCTGAATCAAATGGTTTCTAATGAAATTTTAAAAAAACTGAAAACTGAAAAACTGAAACTGAAAAAAACTGAAAAGTATTATAGCTATAAGAAGCTATAATACTTTTCAGTTCAAGTACAACTTAAAGTTAGATAGGTTTATAACTGGATATGATATGAAACTGAATTTTGCTGACATAATCTGATACTGATAATTTTCAATTCAGTTTGATCCTTTGCTTCTCTCCAAGATGATACAATATTGAATTCTACTGATGTGATCTGATACCAAAAACTCTCAATTCAATTCGATCCATTACTTATATCTCAGTACTCTACAGTATTGGTAATAAATGAAGGCCTAAAAATTTATTGGTTTATAGAATATACACTTTATTCACTAATCATTTAAATTCAAATATAAAGAAAAAAAATTTACAAATTGATTTAAGAGTCCCTTTCAGATTTGGGTCCTAAGCAATTATTATCTAGTTTGCCTAGACCTGACTGGTCCTGTTTTTAAAAAATATTTGGACACATCTTGAGAAATTTATAATAGTATAGAAAAATTGCCCAATTGAAAACACTGTTGCCAGATTGCCAACTGCTTCAAAATATTACCAAAACTAGCAATAATTTATCAGACCTGGCAACATTGCTCACACATCATTGCCTGTCCTTTGCCCTGTCTCTATCAAATTGGTGCCCTCCAAGGGATATATTCATAGAATTTAAATAGAATAAAATCAATCAACGCAATTAAGCACAGTTGTGACAAAATTTGTTCCAACTGTATACAGTGGGCTTTCTTATTTATCTTTTCATTGTTTTATTGATGTAAATTGATGTCACAGTTCCAAACTTAAAAGAATACTTGCACTAGCATCAGAGATTACATCAGCCAAAATCAAAATGTACTGTACATTCTAAATTGTTTTAAAGTAATCTGTGTTTAAAAATATAGTAAATAATCTTTATCAGTAAATAAATATATTACATATCGTTCTAGACTGCATATTTAATATCAAAAAACACTTACTACAACACCTTTTCTTGCAGTCGACGTGTTTTTTAATAAATATATTAATTTTTTCAGTAAGTGTTTTTTAATAAATATATTAATTAAAAAGCATTCTAGTTTTGATTTAGAATAAAAGATATTTTTAGAATAAATTTAAATCATAATTTCTGTACTTTACAAGCTTAAATACAAAATCTGAAAATAAATTTAAATATAAAAATATCTAAAATTTTTGTTCAGAAAAGAAATGTGTTTATTTATGTCTACAATTCTCTTTCATTTGTTGCTAATTTGTGTATATATAATTCAAAATTATTAAATGTTACATTAAAGATTTTGGTGGAAAAATTGCATTTGAGTTTTAAAAATACTTATCTGTTTGAAAATTAAAATAAATAAAAGTTTTAAAATTTCAGCTTATTAATAAAAAAATCAGAACAACATGCACTGAAGTTTATGTTGCATCTGCCCAAAAGAAGATGATTCAAGAAAGAATGAAATTGTGCAGAGAGCTTTGGGATGCAAATATAAAAGTAAGTGTGTGATACAATTTATGCATTTTTAATTTCTTAAACTACCAGCAAAAAGTTTTATCATTTGCTTAGATCACCACTAATTTTAATTTTGTTCCAGAAGGTTTAATTACTCATTCATTATGAGTTGTTTCTATAAAAGTTTTAAATTTACTTATTGAGCATGCAGTTCTTTAGTAGTATGATACTTTACATATTTCTGTCAAAATAATTTTTTTTAAAATCAAACTATAAAGTTGCAGGATTATTCTCGTGCTCTGTATTAAATTAATAATTGAATTCAAGAAAGACATTCTGTTGGAAGTAGAATAAAACATGAATGACCAGTAATTACAAATGATTATGATGTGAAAGAAATGGTATGTAAAAATAAACTTCACAAAACTGAAGTTGACTGAGGAGGGGCAACAATTGCCTGAAATATGTACAAACATTAAATACGTGTATCAACTAAATAAAAATTAATGATGAGATTTGCCTTGTCTCAGAGTGAATACACTATATAGTTGGTGTTTGAGTTGCAGAGTAAAATTTATTAAATTTTAAAACAGGTCAAAATAATTAAATGCATTATAAAATCTAAAAATTCAATAATGAAAAAACTAAATATAAAGATTTTCAAATTTCAGAAATGTAAGATTTCTTCAAACTAAATTTGCTAATGAATCAAAATATCATAAATAAAATCATTTTGAATACATATAAAACAACAAAGTCCAAGTATGATGTTACACTAATTTTTAAAATATCAAAGTCTTTAAAAAGTGTAAAAATACAGTGATTTCAGTAATTGCCTTTAATTAATATTTTTTAAATTTTTACTTCATATACTTTACTAATTAATATTCTAATGAATTTGGATAATTCAAAATATTAGTATTCTCATAATTCATTGTATATTGTATAAAAATGGTTGAAATTTTTGTAAAAATAACTAATTTTTATATTTATAATTACAATATAAATAAATAAGTAATTATATTATTTTTTTATTTTTATCACAGACTGAACATTCCTATAAATTGAATCCAAAACTTCTTGATCAGTTACAATATTGTGAAGAACATGCAATACCTTGGGCTATTATCATTGGTGAAAGTGAGTTGCAAAAAGGAATTGTAAAGTTACGGCATGTTTCAACTAGAAAAGAGGTTTGAATTTGTTTTTAATATTATATGCATAGCTTATCTTATAAATCGTTTTCATTTCAATTTATTATAAATTAACAGTCTATCAGTGAAATATCATTAACCTGTGATCATATGTAATTGTGGTGATTTTCCATATCATCTAGTTTTTTTTGCAGGCATTTTTTACTACATTGACTAACTTAGCTGTATTTTCATGATATCTTCATGCAACATTCTATCAGCTAACTGTAAACATTTTAATTGAAAATTGTTTCCACTTATCACTGGCCTTCAAAAAATTAATTTAGGAAAATGCCATCTTACACAGGTGATTGTGTACAGTTTTTCACTGGTGATGATATAAAATCAACATCACTAGTGAAGGTTAAGTGCTGTTCAGTACACTGTTGGAAAATTTTAATTGTAAATATATGTATTTTAAAAAAGGATGTGTATTAGTTAGCACCTCTTTACTAAATGTCTTAAAGAAAAAGCCAGTGGAAGAGAGAGACAAATGCCCAAAACACATATCAGTGTGTAAGATATTCCTGAATAAATAGTGATGTTAAAGATGCCCAGTGTCTACCTATCACACAGTTGTGAAATAAAGAATAATTAAAAGACACAGTTTTGGAATAAGTCAATATTATTTATAAATTATCAAAGCATTATTGGATATGCTAAAGAAATAACTGATATAATAAAAACTTCCATACAATGTTATATAGATGCAAATCCAGACTTATTATTCATAGAGAAATAACTAATCTTTTCTTTGATGTTGAAAGGGAAAAATTAAGGATTTAGATTCAGGTATCTACACATATATGTATAAGCATCAAAAATGTATAAGCATCAAAAAATGCCACACACAGTCAGAATTATAGTTTCCTCTAAGACATGATCTAAATTTTGCCAATTATACAAGTTTAACATTGCATTCCAGCAAACTGGAAGTGCGACCATTAGTTCTATCTCACTTTGGATATTTAATTGAGGATTTCAAGCACTTACAGCACATTTTGATTTAAAAGTTCATCTTAACCTGCATATCTTTTGATAGTAATTATATATTTATTAAATAATTTAGTAAATATTTTCATGTTTATAGTTGGTTAAGATGAAAATGATTCTTACTTCAGAGAATAATAATGGTAGTGTATTTAATACTGTTACAATGAGATTATATTTTTACATTTTAAAATTTTGTATTTTCTTAAAACATTTGATCTGTAAGGTGTGAGGGTCCAAATAGCAGGCCCAGCCATATCGAATTTTCTTGTAAAACTAGTAAAAAGTATTAAACTGGAAAAATTTTCTGTTATTACCCAGATGAAAAAATTTGTAGTTTGTAAGATCTACAATCATTTTTTCAATTTTAATTTAAAATAATTATTTGTTTAATAACACATACTGATTTCTAAATTACAAATAAAACCCACAAATAGATAGGAAGAGAATTTAATACAGACTATATAATGTCTATATTACTGGTGTTGATTGTAATGCATGCCTACTGGTACAATTTAAAATTTGTATTTTTCTAATGATAATTCTTCATGACAATAATTTTGATAGTGCTTAGGTACATTTGAAGTTTTTTTATTGCAACAGCTTTCTAATTAATCATATTTATTTCTGCATATGTTAATGAATCTGTTCAATAAATTGAAAACTAAATTATCTTGATTATTACATTGCAATCCAAACCAGTTTTAATTAAACAAAATAATCACATTATAGATTTTCAACATTTATCCTAACCTCAAGTGATGAATTCAAAAATTTACTGTAGAAATTAAACAAGAATTCACTCTCATTTAAAAAATTCAGCTGTACAAAATGGTATTGCAAGCTATTTTTTTGTATTGTTTCTAGATTTTGTTTCTTATCATTATTTAAAAACATTGCTGCTGTTAATAATTTTGATAAACTGCACTTCATTAAATTTAAGACTCTTCACTTTTCCATTGTAATAATTATTGGTTTCATTCATGCTGTCAGTGTCAGTTTATAGGTACTTGCAGAATTTTATTATCCTTTCTTCGTATAGTTTTCTTCCTCGATCTATTTCTTATCTATTTTGTCTATTAAGATTATTTATTAATCAGAACGTAACACTTCTAATTAATAAATAATCTTAATATAGATCAGTGTTTCTCAACGGGGTCGATATCGCCCCCATGTGGGCGTTTTCCATGTTGATAGGGCGATTAGTAACAATTTATATTTTGGGGGGCGAAAAACGATTTTCTGAGTGATATAGTAAAACATTATATTAAGAATAATTAGATATTTTTTTTCGTTATATCGTACAATAATTAAACAAATAACATTATACTAGTCACTAGTCTATTCAATGCAGTACGAATTAGACGTTAGCCTTGTCCCTCGGCATCGGAATTTTGTAGTGAAGGGGGCGATACTACGTTGGAGGGGGCGACGATTCGTTAGAGGTTGAGAAACACTGATATAGGGTCTATGCTTTTAATAATTTATACATATAATTTACTATCATTTTAATACTGTTTTTCGATAAATTGGATACTTCTTTTTATTTTTGGAAAAATTTGCTGTATAATTTTATCAATTATGAATTAAAATTTTTTTGTTAGTATTGACTCGACACGAAAAGAAATCTCATCTACTCGTGGTCGAAAAATTTGTTGCCTTCTCAAACAACGTCTTTCGTCTCTTTCTAACTCTTCGATAGCGATAAGAATTGCGTATCCGTTAGCTATTTTCACTTTCGTGTAGCGATCTCACATGCTCGACTCAACGTGAGTAGCAACTCGCATGGTGAGATAGGAAAGCGCGTGAGTTAGAACTCGAGACTACCGATTTGACGTCAGAGTGTGAGATGGTACCACGTGACACCTTCAACACGTTGGGAGTTGTAACACGAAAAACTCGAGACTAAGGGCCCAGATGTCTTTTTTATTTCTCTGTCGATAGCCCGACACGTGTTCCGCAGCCATCTTGTATTTTCTCACGAGCGTGGGATTGTCGGATCTCTCTTACAACTGGATCTAGTTTCGAGAACTCTCTCCAGTCGATCGCGATTGAACCTCGTTTCAGTCGAGATTGAAACGGTCGAGAGCGTTCGTACCACGGAACAGTCTCCGACCTTGGTCACAATCTAGATCGAAATGCACGGTGCGAACGGGGTATAAGCCTAATAGAAGAGGCTTGACTAACGCTCCGCTTTAATAATTCAGTGCATAGAGCGATCCGTTTCCATAGTAATCAAACTTTTACAGTGCATGAAGCATCGTAAAAAGTTTGGTTCCTTACGGATACGGATGCCGCCGTACGCATGTATTCTTGATGTAAATGAGAGAAAATATCACCGTTTCTGTTGCCAGATCTATTACACTATAATTATGTATTAGTTTAATTTTTATTTGTTTTCTTTACGACCGAAGTAACTCCAACTTTTATATTGTTCAAAAATCTGTTTATATTGTAGAATTCCGTCGGATAACGATTATGTTTAAAAATAAAATTAAAGATAAAGTCCATTTAAGAAGAAACGATCAATTATTCACTTTCAATGTTCCGGAACACAAGGAAGATAAAGTCGGTTTATATTGTTGGAGTACTTGCCATCGACACTGCGCATCCTTACGACTTTTTATTAATAACATAACCTTCTGCAGTAATTGTCAATAATGCAATCATAGTCACATATTCTTATCATGTTTCCATTGCGTCCCCGATCTGACTAGGGCTCTAGTATGCTATGTGAGAAGTTGAACGACATTTGGTGACGTCACGTTCGACTCGACTTACTATCGTAAGTTGAAGTCGAACATCGAATAGTTTGCTAGTTCGCTGGGTAACAGGACAGTTACGACCTTATAAAGTTGCCGGTTCCGGGCTAAACAACTTCCGCATTTATTTAGCCAATAGGAAAGTACAATACAAATGGAAGGAGTTGCCAGTGGAGCAGCGTTGCCAGATTTGGCTACTTTGCGACAAATTGGGCTACTTATTTTTCAGTTTGGCGTTAAAAAAAGTATTTGGGGAACTGGCTACTTTTTGGGCTACAAAAACTTCACTTGGCTACATTTTGGGCTTGTTACACAAATTACTTCAGCCTTTGTTTTGCGCACAGAAATAACAATATTATTTATAATATTAATGGTAAAATCATGTACTATACAAATCATGGAGAAGAATATAAGAAACCCTTTTCCCAAATTGTATTTGAGATAAATCACGCTCGTCGGGCTTATTTATGACTTTGGCGAATGCAATTTTTTGAACAAAAAAATTTAAAATTCCGACGAGAGATTAAGCTTTCCAATAAAAATTTCAATTGATATACCGGGTATTTTTAATTCCTTTTCTTCTTGTAAGTACTAAGAAGACTTTTTTCCAACCCAAATCCTAAAGAGTCAAGCTAAAGGTATTGGTCCGGATCATTTCGATGAAAGTTTCGTCACAAATTTCAGATAATTTTCAAATAAGAACGTTTGGCAGTAAATGAATGGGATATTTTTTAATTAGGAAAATCATTTCCCCTTTCGGGAATCAGAATACACCTCCGCCCCGCAGAGCACTGCGGAGGGAAATGAATGGGATAATTAATTAAGTATCAATTATTTAATCGCTTACTTCGTTTATCTCATAAAACTGTATTTAAAATTTAAAAATAGGGAATTACGTGTCCCGCAATGCATTATTTAATTGGGAGCAGAATACCGAAATTTCAGAGAAGTACTGCATCGACGTTCATTTATAGCGGCGCCTTAATAGGAACCGTCGTCTCTTTACCCGTTTCGGGAATTTTCTGCAGTTCGGAATTTTTGGGAGGATGGCCGGCAGTCTTTTACGTATTCGGTAAAGACATCTAAAATATACATAGGCCTATGTTAATTATATTCGCTTCTATTTATTAAATTATTTTCGCTACTTTCTATTTCTATTTCAGGTGGTTTAGGATGCGTTTGGACGGTATTTTGGTTTATTTTTATTCCTAATAGACCACTCGAATCCGTATATAAAAAGGAGCATCTTAAAAAAGTAATATATAACAATAATCATATCGTATTTATAACATTTTAAAAAATGTTTACAATTTTGTATAACAATTATTTCTTGTATGATTTAATTTTAGGTTCCTTGGATACCTATTTTGAAATCTAGAGTGGTCTGGATTTTAGCCATTACGCACTTTGGTCAAGGATGGGGGTTTCTTATGCTTCTAACCGAATTACCGACGTATTTGAGTGCTGTGTTACACTACGACATACAGCAGGTTATTTAAAATTATTATACGTATATGTATACCTTACATGTATGCAATATGACCCAAAAATCATTTCATGTAAGAGACTAAAGCACAAATAATAAAATCGGTTTGAACAAATGCGTGTTAAGTATTTTTAAAGTACGGTCTGGGTTAACTGTTCTTTTTGGGTCACCTTGTATATATATTGTTATATTTTGTAATAGAAAATTTTTAAGATTAAAAAAAATTTAATTTTTTTTAAACTTAAATAATTTCTTATTCTGAAGTGCTCGTGATGAAATGAATACACAGATTTAGCATTTGAGTTTAAGAAAGACGATAATATAAAAATCAGACTCATAAATAATTAAAGTATTTTCTGTTTATTACACAAAACTGATTTTACAATGAAAATTACAGTACAATCTTTGTAATCTGGCCGTTCGCTAGTCGTCCAGTAATCCAACACTAGTCGGATATTACTGGCACTGTGCCAAGTTGTAGATATGATTTCCGTTAGATCATACTGCAGTTCACACTAAATTTTAACACTTTCCCGGTAAATGTGGGATATTATCGAGCTTAAGCACAATGTTAAAGATCGTTAGACTCGTCAATTCAGGATGCTTTAAAAGGGTCCAGTATCTTATAACACAATAGTTTATAAACATAAAAATCAGTCCCCCGAAATATCCCAGCAAAAATACTGAGTCTCCCATTAAATTTCCTATGGTCCCTTCAATATCTCACTAAATTTAGTGAGAATACACCAACTTGGCAACCCGATTATCGGCGATGGCAGCGCTCGGATGTTTCGATCAGTCGTCCGACTTAATACAACGAAGTAATAACATGCAAATAAAGAAATGTTTTCTTTCCATACTCATTAAATACACTTACTTTTAATAATCTTCTTAATCCGACACTCTTCCGCTGAGGTTGTATTGTATAAACAAATATAAAACGATGAAATTACACAATTCCTCATATATTGGTAATAATGGGCGAAGATCTTGGGACGAGGGAGTAAGTACAAAGTGCCCCTAATAATTATGTAAATTAATATTGACTGGGTCGAAGAAGAAAGAATGGAAAAGCATTAACTATAATTATGACATTCTGATTCTGTCTTTATGTAGTTAGTGACTAAACATGTTCTTGTTTTCTTATAAGGTGTATATTTTATTCATTTAAAAAAGTTTTTATACTTACTCTTTAGAATGCATTGTTTTCTGCCATTCCTTACTTATTTCAATCGGTCACCGGATGGTTTTGTGGATTTGTGGCCGATTACGTGTATAAAAACGGATATGCCAGACTGAATGTCGTCAGGAAAACTTGTAATACAATAGGTCTGCATAAATTATATACAGGTATTTAGTTTAAAATTTAAATTATATTATGAAAATATATGGAAATGTAAACGTTTTTATTTTAAGGTTATATCGGTACAGCTCTTTGCTTAATTGGAGTGGTTCAGGCAGGATGCGATCATCTAATCAGTATCTCGTTTTTCACATTAGCCATGTCTCTTAACGGATTTATCAACAGTGGATTTTTTGTTTCTATTATAGATATAGCACCAGATTTTGCAGGTAAAATTATAATAAAAATGTCCTAATAAAATGTATCCTACACGATTTAAATATTTTACAATATATTTTATTATTAAAATATTAAATATTGTCATTCTGTAGATATCCCATCCAAAATAATTTGCGTGAAGTTCAAATTCGAAATTCGTTTATAGAAAATTTAAAAAAAATAGAAACGATCTTTTGGTTTAAAAAAGGAATTTATAAGTAGTGTCGAAAAATCGGATTCTTTTAAATAATATATTTTCTAGTTATATAAATATTAAAATACTTTTACTGAATTAATGCTATTTGCTAATGTATAAAAGCATTTTTATTTGGTTTAAATATGCACAAATAAAGCGTCAGGCGTGTTTACTATTATTGAAACACTGAAAATTTATAAAATTGAAACAATCTAAATTTTAAGAATCTACATAAATTTACGTCTTCTTTTAATTGCGTAAAATATAAATATTTATGGAATCAACATAAACGATTTTAAATATTTAATTTTAATTAGGGACTTTAGTTGGAATAACGGCTACGATTGCAGCAATTCCAGGATTTTTAGCTCCTATATTTATTGGATATTTAACAGAGCATGAGGTAAGGTTAAATTAAATTCAATAGAATTTGAAAATTACTTCTGTATGACAATTTTAATTTGAAACTATTTTGGTCTCTTTCAGCAAACGGTTAAAAACTGGAGTATTATTTATTATTTTACTGCGGGTCTTTATATTTTGACAAATACTATTTATGTCCTTTTTGGTACGGCCGAACTTCAGCCCTGGGGAGTTCATTCCTTCGATAATTACAAACAACCCGAAGATAAATTTATTTCGCCACCGACGTCTAAAGATGATAAAGTTCCCATTAATCAAGATTAAATTGATTTTACGCTTTTTAATTCTTTTGGTACGGTTTTTATTCATGTTTTACGTGATTTTTATTTATTATTAAATTGAAATAAACATTTAACAATTTTAATTTTAAAGTATACGTCTTTATATTATAAAATAACTAATAAATAATTAATTAAAGCGCCTTCTACAATTGAAAGAATAATTCCGCGCGTATCGTATACAGTACCTATTAAAATTCATCAGATCTTAAATAAAGGAGCCACTAGCTTTCAATTTGTCGAAACTTTCTCAAGCGGATTTAACTTCTCGCCATCAGTTACCACAAAAAACATTTTAATTAAGGATAAATATAAATATGAATTACGGAGCCGTTTTAAATATTGGTAAATAAAATATTGTCTATCCAAACAATCGCTTGGCGTTTGACTGTTTCACGTCGTTCGCATCGATACTAACTTGTAAGTGACTCAAAACACGACAGAACATGCGTTTACAAAGTTATTTCTCCATTAAAATTCTTAAAATAACTAATAAATCTGCTGAAAGTTTGTAACAGTGAATAAAGTAAAATTTTGATCGGTTAATAATGCTAAACAATCACTTCGTGTTTTCCATCTCCTCACGCAATACAAAATTATCATTAAATTATCAATGGAAATTACGGCGATTTAAATATTGTCCATACCAATAAATTCTTAATAAAATTTAGATTTTATAGGTGTAAATTTTCTAGGATATTAACGAAGAGATATCGCTTTGTCGCGCACGCTCGTGTTGCGAACTAATATCTCGAAAAGGAATTGGTAGACCCCCATATTTTTTATTACATTTTTGGATTCCTGGTCGCAATTAATGGAAATTGGCAAAGTTCAATCAAAACAGATCGAACGGGTTTTGAGAACGAACACAATTCCGTAATACTACGTTCGCACCCAATCCACGACTCACTTCGATCTCGATTTACCTACAATCTGGATTGTGACTGTCGCTAGTCGAACGTCGTACTGTTCGCACAGGCAGTCCGCTCGAGAAGAACCTGGCTATTACACGCGATCATAAAACTGACGTAACTACGCGATAAGTCACAAACACCAACAAATAAAATGGAAGTTTTGGTTAGAAATAAACACTTTTTCTTGCCATTTATCTAATAATAGACAGATGTCGTCGTCTCTCCAGGGCCCTTAGTCTCGAGTTTTTCGTGTTGTACTCGAACTGACGTCATCGAACTCACTCGTGTTACTGTGACTCACATAATCGGTAGTCTCGAGTTAGACTCTTCGAGCGAACTCGAAAGGCGAGCGGAAATACGTCATACTCACTCGGTTGCGTATTTCGTTAAGCACGATGGGATTATTTACAATGCATCTGGGTTTGCGACTACAGGTATACCTCGCCTTACGTCGGTAATTGGTTCCAGGAAAACGACGTAAGTCGAAAAACGACGTAAGTCGAATTTACCTGTCTCCGAATCTACTTATCACTAGGAAAGCATTTTAAATAATATATGGTTAATAAAAATCTATTTTAAGCTTACAAACAAATAAATTTTAGTTTTTAATATAGTACAAAAAAAGTAATCTAAATTTACGAATGCGTGTACTGTAAATACAGTACATACTTGTATATATTTTAATATGATTTTATGTGCTTTAAACGTTTATCTAGTGATATTACGACTTCAATATTTGTGGCGGACAGACGTAAAGTCGAATAAAATGACTTAAACTTGATTTTTATTTTTCCATATACTTTTTTAACAAGCGACGTATAATCGGGAACGACGTAACTCGAAACGACGTAAGTCGAGGTATGCCTGTATAACGATTCGACCAATCAACTTAACTGTAACAAGTTGTAAACAAATCAACACGAATTAGTTTACACGTGCTACAGTTAAAAGTTGTCTTATGGCAATATAGTACGCAGAAACAAAATGAAAACCTCCAATATTTTATTTTAAAAAATAAGCAAAGAACAAAAAGAAGTATTAGTATCATATGTAGAAAATAATAAGAAAATGAACAGCGAAAAATTCGACTAC